CAGCAGTCTTTGAAGTTGGCCAATTGCCGCAATCACCGATCGCAAACACGTTGGGATACTTAGTATGTTGTCCCGTGTACATGTTGACATCGCAAAAACCAGTGGCGTCTACGAGAGAACTGTTTCTCAACACATCTGGTGTCATCATTGGTGGGCAGACATGTAACATGGAGTACTGAAAAAACAAAAATATTTTCTCTTAGTCCATAGAGGGCATATACAAGAGAACTGATTCTCAACACATCTGATGTTATCATTGGTGGGCAGACATGAAACATGGAGTACTGAAAAAACAAAAGTATTTTGTAATTTAGTATATAGAGGGCATGTACATGTACAAGAGGACTGTTTCTCAACACATCTGGTGTCACCATTGGTGGACAGGCATGCAACATGGAGTACTGAAAAACAAAAGTATTTTCTAATTTAGTATATAGAGGGCATGTACAAGAGGACTGTTTCTCAACACTCTGGTGTCACCATTGGTGGACAGGCATGCAACATGGAGTACTGAAAAACAAAAGTATTCTAATTTATTTATAGAGGGCATGCACAAGAAACTGTTTCTGAACAAATCTGGTGTCATCATTGATTGGTGGGCAGACACGCAAGTGACACTGATTAAAAGAAAAACAAAAGTAGCCTCTAATCTAGTCGATAGAGGGCCTGTATAAGGAAACTGTTTTTCAATGCATTTGATAGCATCACTGGTGGGCAAACATGTATTATTGGAAAATTGAAAAACAAAAGAATTCCCAAATTCAGTCTATAGAGGGCATACTCACAGGAAATGTAACTGTCTCTTTTTTCTCCCCAGAGTTGAGAATCTCAAACACAGCTTCTTTTTTTTCATGTCTCACTTCAATTAAATTGTGGAGGAAATTCCGAGCAATACCTCGGCTACTCGCAATCTCCGTGAGGGCGTCTGCATATTTTTTCACAGTAAACATTTTGTCCAGCGATGTATTGAACTTGATGTTGACTTTCTCACGCTTGCCGTTCTGTGGAATAAATACGAGATGATGACGAGAATGCAAAATAAAAACCGTTCACACTAGGTCAAAAAATGTGTTCGCTTCTTTGTTCTTTGAGTTAGTGGATACAACTGAAACTCTTCTAGAAATGACTGTGGGTTACAATCAACTTGTTGTCATTGGCAACAGCAACTGATATTTTTTGGTCTTGTATTTTTATAGTATTTTTAACAAAAAAAAAAAAAAAAACGTTTTTATTATAGTAGACATACCTTCCTCCAGTAATCCTCAGCAAGGTACATTATCTTCTGTGGTGCTCCTGCACATTTGACGGGTGTGGATGGGAAAGTGAAAATGGCATTGCCCTCACTGAAGTTCTGGATAGCTGGGAATGTTTTCTCCACATATAAACTTGAATAATTGGAGCACACAGATGGGTCATGCTTGAGTGCCTCTTGAAGTCCCTTAACCTACAGAAGACAAAATGTGTTGACCCCCTAAGTCAGCAAGTTTACCATTTTATTTGAATCAAAGTTGGTGTACAATATTTTGTTTACTAAAAGCACACCTCCAATCGGGGGGG